GCTCCCGGTGGCGGTTGCTCCCTCCGCGAAGCTGGAACACCGTTCCCATCTCTGCCTGTCTTGCGAGACGGTTGTCTGTCACTGTTCATTTAAATTTGTAGCATTTGTAACGCGGTTTATTTAAATACTTCAATTTAAAATTTGCCTTGACAAAGCAGAAGCTGGTTTGGGCGTATTGTGAAGTGATAGAACGTTGTTTTTTTTTTTTTTTTCCCTTTAACTGTGACCGTGGTAGATAACTTGAGGGAATGGACAAGATCGAAAATCTGTGATTCTTCTAGTCTTCATGATTATTAGTTAAATATTTTGCCACTCTGTGATAATGTGACTTAAGTCTCAATGAACAATTCATTAACATGTTTGAATTAATTGAACAAAGGGAAAGACTGTTCTCAACTTTAGAGATAACAAATCCTGATAAGAGGTAACAAAACTTAACTTTTAAAAGTGTGAGAAAGATCATGTATTGTTTGGGCATTCCTCTTGACAATGTACAGGTTCATTTTGATGATGGATGATCAAGCAACTGCTGAATCATCTACCATTTTCACCTCGAATGCTGTTAAGGGACATATGAGGAAGAGGGATGGAAGATTCCAAGCTGCAAAATGGAATGCTACTTTAGCATCTAAAATAAAAACTAAATTAATAAGTAAGTCCTGTTAAAATAAAAGTGAAGCCATTTACTGCACTTAGAATGTATGACTTCAAAAGGAATAGTAATTGCAGTTAATGTGATTTGCTGAATTGCTGTCCGTTAAAAATATTAATGTGGTATGTTGAGAATTTTAGGAGAGTCTGAAAGTTAAAACACATGGCTGTAAGTTGTTTATCTAATTTGCTGAGTATTTTCAGTGCTTGCTCTTTGGCATGACAGTGTTTTAAAAGAATGTACTCAAGTGCATCTGTGTCCACATCCATTTGGGGCATCTAAAAACTGAGGTACCAAAATGCGTAAATCAGTGACCTTTTAAAATATAGTTGCCATAGAAAAATGCCTAGTATTTCCATTTGACAATAGGATTTATATAAAATCCTTCATTGAGTCATTTACCGAATCAAGGAAAACTACAAATATTAACCTGCTGATTTGATCACTTGCCAGAAGGTACTTTGTTTTCCCACTAAGTCAGGATTAAATTCAAACATCGGTTTGTCATGGTAGATGGTTGGGGTTTGTTTCTGTCTCTGACAAAAACAACATTGTGAAACATCTCGGATACTCTTCTGCAAAAGGTAGGGAAACTATAAATGTAGTGAAACTGCTATTTCAGAGCACTCTAATTCAAACAGCATGGTTAAGTGAATGTTGACTTCTGCTTCTGTTTCTGTGATTGGTGCGGCAAGAATTTTTGTTTGTATATATATCTTGGTGTTGTTGGTATATATATTTTGTTGTTTGTATATATAGATATATTTAACTTACTCTGGCTTTATGTCAAAAATACTAATTTTCAGTGAAAAATAAACAATATAGATGAATGCTACTAATGTCCTTTAGAAATTTCCACACTGCAGTAATACAAATAATTCACTAATCTGAATAGTAAATTCAAAGCATAATGTTTGGATTAACAAGGTTCTGCTGTTCTTTCCTGTTTCCCAAAGGAAAGAAATAAGGCCTTGCAAATTTTGTAATACAAATCACAGAAGTAACATCATATGACAATGAAGGGATGTAGTTGGAGCAGATTTCAAACTAACCTTGCTCGTTTTTACACTATAAAAGAGTATGGTCAGACTTGTCTCTACCTTGAGTTCAAGTTTACTCTATGTGTACTATGAACGTGAGGCAAAAAAAAATCATCTTGGCAGTATGCAGTGTTACTGGGGGGGAAAAAAAAGTTCCTAAAACTTTCTGTAACAGATATGAGTAGGCAGGTTTTCATTAGGACAGTGGAAGGTATAATTCTAATTCAAAGTTTTTTTCTTTCTGTATGCAAACAAATGTCTATTGTTTTTTTTTAGAAATCTGGAAACATTTTTATACATATGAAACTATAAATTTGTAAATGCTTTATTCTGAAAGTAACCTTTTAAAAAAAATTTAGACTAGAGCAGAATCCATGCATGAAATGAACTTGAAGCTGACAGGAGTAGTCATTGGAATGACAGCTGACAGAAACAGTTTTGTATTAGAAACTGTTATGCTTTGCTGTTGTTCCACCAAAAACATACAGATGAAAAGGTTGTTACATAGTGATAGTTCATGCAGAGAGGGCCTGGAATTGAAGCTGCAGAAAATAATATGATTTTGTCTCCTTTAGATAACTCATCTATGTTTAAATTATCTTTAAAACAAAATAATAAAGCATTAGCTGTGGCTTTGAGCGTGGAGAGAGAAAATTCTCGAAAACTAAAGAATGAGAAGATTTTTCTTCAGAAGGAAGTAGAAAAGCTGCAGCTTCATAACATCTTGCTTCGTCAAAAACTAAACCGTTTGGTATGCTGCAAATAATATAATTTCAACTTAGATCAGCTAAACCAAGATTTTATCTTCTTTGGAAACTTAATATTGCTTCTTAAAATGGTTATTTAAATTGTACATCTCAGGTTTGTGAAGTTGTATCATCTGATAGCATAGCATGCATGTTTGATTTTTCTTTCATAGGAATTTTTTGTACTTACTATTTTGTCCATCAGTATATATGTCTATCCTTAGCTATTTTAATGTCAGCTTCACCTTCCTAAGTATTGAGATGGTATTAAAAATCAGTTTGTGCTCAATTGAGTGTAAAAAACAAAAACACCAAACCAAAACAAAAACCAAAAAAAACCCCAAACTAATAATAGATTCACGTTTGTATCTTGTCTTTTCTGAAGTCAGAAGCCAATTAAAATATGTTTTTAAAATTGCTTTTTCTTTTACATGCAGAATAAAACACTTATAGAAATAGAAGTATTTTTGAATTATAACCTCTTAACTGCAATAGAAATAAGCAGTCTTTCTGAGGTAAGATTTTTTTAACTGCTACCATGTTGAACTTGTTTTCCAGGATAATATTTTCAATGCATCTAAGTGAGTGCAATGTTGAAATCATATACCCCAGTTCCTTAAAACTTGGGATGAAACCCTAGTCTAGTGAAATCAATTAAATTTTGCTGTTGCTTGCACTAAAAATGTAGGATTTAGTATTGTTTACAAAGTATGTAAGAGTTAAATATCAGTTATCCGTGATGAATTCATGTGATTAAAAAAAAGCATAGTACTTCAGTATGTGGTATTCCTCGCCGATGAGTGAGCTACTTGCCTTCCTTGCTTAGTGTTGCAATAAATACGTTGCACATGGAAACTTTACCAGAAAACATGGTCCATGTCAGTCCTTGTGTCATGGCAAAATTACAGTTAATTTTTTAAAAAGAATTATTTTTACTGTTTGTTCTGAACAGTTGCTTAGTGTTGCTCTGTGCTTCTATATGTATAATGCACTTTGCATTAGTTATAGCTACGTTTAAAAAGTCTCTACATTGCTTTGGGACGCAAGTGGGTTACAGATTTTGATAAGTTCTGCTACAAAATATTTTTCTTTAAAATTATTGTGTGTGTTTGAATATCACACAGATTATTGTGTGTACCTTTCATCAGTGCTTCTATTTTTTGCCCATTCATTATTATTTTTCCTGTGGATATTTCTGATCCTTAAAACATAAGAGAATATTCAACTGTTTCTACTTTCCCACTGTTGTTCTTTTGAAAGAATCTTCAGAGTTCTCTTCCTCTGCCAGCTGGTCCAAGTAGCCCTAGTCATGACCAGTTCAAGAGTACGTGTCAGTCAGCTAGGTAGGTGATTATATTAAATGTGGGAGTTGGTAAGTCTCTGTATTTTTTTACAACTAGTCTTTGTATGTTGTCCTAGGTATTTTTGAGGTAATGAGAACAATTTCCTGTCTGATTCAGAAAATACCTCTTTACAACTTGGAATTTGTATACAGAGAGAGTAGTAGACAAAACTTGTGTTTGCATGACTTGCTTCTTTCTTCATGGGATCTCACCAGCCCAAAGCAGGATTCTCTACCATAAAAAATACATTTGCCCCTAAGACAGAACCAAATTTCATACTTGAGTGCTTGTTTTCTGCTTTTATACATTAGTAAGGGAATGTTTTAAACAATTGAATGTTATGGCATAAAATGTAATAAAAATGTTCACAGTAAAATTTCCTCTCTTCAGATCTGTTGAACTGCTAGAGAAGCTTCCTTTAATTGCAACAGCTAATGCAAAACAGCGAGATAGCCCTTCTGTGTGTGAAATACCAAATGCTTATAAGTGTACCACTGTTTTGTCAAAGGAAATGCATTCAGATCAAGTCAAGATTGCGTTATCATTGCCTTCTGGTACAAATAATCAAAAGTTAATTGAAATAGACCCAGTGGAAACAAAAGTTGACAAAAATATTTTTTTAAAAGGTATGATGTATTTCTGTACAGCTGATTTATTTTTCAGAGCTATATGAGAATTAGTATTTAATAATCCATTACTTTATGTGCCATGCAGAAGGTATGGTATGTTTCCTAAACTGTAGTAAACCTATAAAAAATAGAATGCTCACACATAAATATATGTGCCCTAACAATCACTTGTAGAATTATGTTCCTTGAAATAACACTGATTAAATATAACAAAATCAATGTGAACAGACTAAAACTTTGATAAGATAACCAAATAATAACTAAAATAGCTATAGGAAAAAAAAATTTTCTATACCCAATTTCAGAAGTCCAACTTTGGTAAAATAATAAATTAGTTTAACTAAATTTTTAAGGACCAACCACAGCATGTATAAATTCAGTAAAAAAAAAAAAAGGCAGTCTGTGATTTTTCAGTGCTTCTGGTCCAACCTTCAGGAATGTTTTATTCTGATAACTACACTCTCTATTTTTTTCCTTCTCCAAGCTGCTGAAATTTTTCTTTTTGCAGAAAATCAGTTATGCACAGAACTAACTTGCGATAGTGCCTTCCTGACTCACGTCAAAAATACAAGATCTTTAAGACAGTCTGAGGAGTTTACAAAACAATATGATGGTTCATTGCCACCCTGTGGAAATGTGACTGAAAGAAAGAAACATGCAGTATATCAAAAGTCAAAACCTCAACCTAATATAAAGGATTTTGATAAAAAATGTAGCTCAAATAATCTGCCTCATCATGGTATCAACAGCAGCAGCAACACCAATGACATGAATTTGAACGAAAGTTCAAATGTCTTGTCTCACATTATTCCTTCATCTCTTAAATTTCACAATGAAAAGAGAGATTTTAAGAAGCTGCTTTTTACTGACAAGATGCAGCCTGAAGAAACTCTTTATGATGCTGATATGGAGTTGACTGCCAGTGATGCAGGTGAACTACTCACAGTTACAGCAAAAGACAAAGATAAATTACACCAAAATAAAAATAGTAATGCCAATTCTGACAAAACATTAGCAAGTTTCAGAAAAGTAAAATATTCTAAGAAGGATAAAGAGAAAGTTAAAAGCAAGACTGAAGTCAGTTCAAATTTGCATGCAGAAGAAAGGCACACTAGGGCTGACAATAGTGAAGTTTCAAAAACTACTGACTCGCAAACTCAAGTTTTCCAAAGTCAGACAGAACAGCTACCTACAGGAAATTCAGTAAGGAAACAGAGTTTACTAAATACCAGCAAATATTATCAAGCACAAAATTGCACAAGTCAAGCTAAAGATACTAGGAGGACATACCAGGTTAACTTAATGAGTCCAAGAAAACAGGAGACAAATAAAGAATCTTTCTCAGAAACATTGGAAGACAAGGGAAGCAAAATACAAAAAGCAGACACAAACTCATATGTTAACAAGATCCCACCAGAAGTTTGCTCTGATGAAAATTTACCATTCCAAGATAACCCGTCTAATGTATTGCCTTTACAGTGGCATACAAAAGAAAAACACAGCAGACCAAAAATAAACAGGAAAACTTCTCGAAACCCTTCTAAAATGAACACAGCAAAATACAGTAGAGAGGAAAATGGACAGTATGGAGTATATATTTCCAAAAAGTCTCAAACAGAGATACACCAATACGACAACAAAAGAAAACAAGACCAGAAGAATATTAGAAAATACAACAAAAAAAGTAGTTACAGAGAAAGTGGAGAAACTGAAAGTGACAGCATTCATAAAACTAGTCAGAAAGGAGGCCTAAAAAAGAGTAGCCATTTTTCACCAGGCAGATTAAAACGTACATTGTCAAAGGCTAGCCGGAAAACATGTGTCATACCAAAAGAAAACCTTACACAGTTCTCAGTTTTCAAAAATGAAGAATTAAAAAATAAGGATGTGTTGCCTCCAGAGACTGTTTGTGGAAATAAAGTAACTGAAACTCAGCAAATGCAAGTAACTTTGGTTACTCAGAATAGTGTCACTGTGAATACACCACAAGCTAAAGAACAAGACGATGATGGTGCTAATACGTTAAAGAAAGTAGAGTCCTCATCAGTGGCACATAAAACCCCTCACATTTATAATTCTCCTGATAATCAGGTAAAGTGCAAACAGGAGTTTAGTTCTGATGTTACTGAGACCAGACCAGAAAAAATTATTTCAGGCTTGTTGATCAAGGGGAGCAGAATGTTTTGGATGACCAGGAAGTCCCTCATGAGATAGATTCCTTTGTGAGCAAGTTAAAGCCTATGGTTCAAAATTTTTTAAAATTCTTACCTGTCAAATGTTCTAAGAATATGCCATTAAATGTAGATAACTTTTTCCAGGAAGGTCTTTCCTACGTGGAGCTCCCAGCTCTTGATAACCACAGTACTTCCAAGAACTTCTCTATACTTTCAAACTCTGAAATCTGTGGGGAAAATGATCATAATAAAGCACTGAGTGCTGGAAAAGCAGAACGAAAACCGGCTCATATTTCTAAAGAGACTTACAAAAAAACTCTCACTCCTTGTCATGGTAAGTGTATGGGTGAGAAAAAAATGGCATTTTGAATTAGATAGTGCCTGAAATAGTGGTAGGGTATCTTCTCTTAATACTGTCCTACCCTTATTGCTTGCATAGAGTGGACAAAACAGGAGTGGAAAAAGGTAAGACTGAAAATCACTAAAATTATTCATATTCTGTATCATGTATCGGTCACAATATCTTTTTTTAATTGTGGTAATTAACTTCCTTGTTACTTTTCAGTATATTCCAAGATGACATTTAGTTGGGCAGATGTAAGTAGTCTACATTCTTGAGGAGCAATTATAGTTGGAGGATGTATTCATTTTTCAAAGAACGTGATGGAATTCAGAAAGTTTGGGGTAGAAAAGATACAATATCTTGAGCTTTTATACAAGGGAAATAAGAGTGGACTACACTGTTCCCTTTATATGTGGAGAACATAGCCAGACTTAAAGATTTAATTTGTACTTCTTCAGATACTCTGCAATTCAACAGGAATTCTGAGATCTAAAAAAAAGTACGTTGAGCATGTTTTCTCTAGAATCTACCCATGAGCACGCTTTCATGTGACAATGTCTTTAAGTAAGATACATTATGTTAAGAAAATAATCAAACTTAGTGTAGTCTGGAAGATAGGTTTAGATTCTTCTATCATACGATGAAATTACTATAAAGGAGCTAAAGGAATATATGACTAACATGTCTATCCTAGAGTTTAAAGTGTAGCTTTGAAGTTTTGCAGCATAGGGGGTCCATTCTGTAAACATCATTCTCAACAAGTTCCTGTTTACTTCATTGTCTCAGAATGTCCCAACACCTAAACAGTTTCCTAGCTCAAAGTAATAGTTTGAATCCCAGACTATCAAGCAAATACTGCCTTGGCTTCATTTGAATGCTAGGGTACAATGGACAAAATAAATCTCCTATTTTACCTGACCACATAGTAGGAATGCTGACAGAATTGGACTGTCATGCAAGAAATTAGTCCTGGTAGTTTGCAGTTGCGTCTTCTCATCTCCAGTTCCTTCTTTGCAAGGTAGAAAAAGGATCCCATAATTTTATTAGCTTTAATGATAAATTAGTAAACCCTTGTGATCAGCAGTACCAAAGACTACTGACATAAAAAGCAAGCTAATAATTTGATCTTCATACATTTAAGTATAGTTTGAAAAACAGTTCATTTTTCATCCCACCGCCAAATCTGTATCTTGAATTAAAACAAAGCAAGGAAATGCCATCCTGTCTGGTGATGCCAGGCTCCTCTGATCACTACCTTGAACTATGCTCCAAAATATACCTTTAAAGTTTCCTGTAATGAAAGTATCCATATAGTTATATCTATGTGAACATAAATATTCACACTCTGAGGCATCCAGCTTTCCTAAATAATGCAGACTCATAGGTGTCTCAAAACTCTTCCAACTTATAAAGAAGATGACCTGATCTCTAACCTTAAGCTTTAGGAAAAGCTTAGAATAATAGTTTACTTTCACTTTAAAACTAGTACAAATCAAGATTGATTTGTGAAACAGGCAAACTTGGAAGGTTTTTCATGATCAGAGAGCCCTCTCATTTAAACCAAATGAGCATTGCTTTTCCTTAATGAACTCCTTCAAAAATAATTTTTTTTTCTTTTGCCATCATAAATCAGGAGGAACTTGCTGCAAGCAGCCCAAAGTCACCTTAATATGTCTTTCGTACTTAGAAGTAAAGTTAGCAGAAATCCAATGAAGAACCTCTGACTTTGTCTCTGCTTAACGCATTTCAGAAGACTATTGATGAAATGATCAGTCTTGCCCACTGAGATATTTTGCTTGATCTCAGCACAGAATTCTACTATAGAGCGATAGTAATTCAGCACTATGAGCTTGACCATCAGTTAAGAGTGCGTATGCTGGACTGTACAATGCATTCAGGTGCTATGGTAAAGAAAGAATATCTTCACTTTTTTGACAGGTATGTAGATATACAGTGATATAATTTATTAGTCTTAAGATAGGCACAACAAAAAAATCATCATTTATCCCATACATGTATGAATTTCCTCTATGAGATCAATATCATCCATTGGCTGCCACAGAAGATGAAAAGTAAAGTGTTCAAATTCAAGAAGTGAAGATAAGAGAGTTTTAAATTCAGTTCCTTTGAAAAACTGCATTCCAAATTTCCTCCTCTGGATGCAGTAAATCTAAAATTTGACCTGTATCAGTGAAGAATGTACACTCTTGGAAGAACTTTTAAGGAATACAGATTATTTCTTTAATTTTGGATTCCTGTCTACGTTAAATCTTAATGCTTTTCAGGGAGACTATGATCTAGAAATGGTTTAGAATTTTTTGAAATGTGGGCTATATAATAATTTCAATATTTCTCACAAGTTATCAAAACATTTGTCTCTAAATGGACTACTGATTGTTTAGTCTGGCATTCTGAATTGGTTTTAGAGGATTACAGAAAGCTGACAGCAATAGTACTACTTCTACTAAGGCTGGTTGCAAGGCAAGTATTCCTCTTGGATGTATTTAGTAGTTCAAAATACGAGGCATTGTAAATAGTTTGGTAGTGTACAATTCTGAAGATAAGGAAACTCAGTCACCTTGCTCTACTCATTTTATGCACATACCCCCAGAGAGCAGGCGTAAAGTTGGAAAATACGGTACTAGAGAGCTCTTGTACAGGTTGAATCTTCAGAGTATGCATGTATGACCTCCCCCTGCATTCAAGGCCATCAGCTGTGTGCAGTTTCACTTTTTTAAACACAGTAACTCTTAGGAGTCTTAAGCAGCTAGCTGCAAACTCTAATACTTAATGGGGCTTTCTGAAAATGTCCCAAGAGCCATGGCAGACCTCAGACATCTCCAAATTTCTGTAGGTTGAAAGCTGCTGTAGTGGCATTTTCTTTGATCATCTATCCTGTTTTTTGTTGAGTGTTTTTAGAGTAGGAGCAGCAACTGAAGTACCCAAATCAAGAAATTATTAAAAATAATTATTAACTGAAAGTTTACTTAATGATTCAGAAAATATTTTAAATGAGGCATGTGAACTACTGTATTTACAGGGAGAAAGTCTTTGCAAGATCTGACAAATACTAGTATACAATCTCACACTTCCTTACCTAAATCCCCCCAAACTTCAGAAGAAAATTCAGCAGCACCATCTAGACGAGCAAGAGCCACTATTTGCTACAAAGAACCCAATTTACACTGGTAGGTGTATGTAAATTAGGTGTCTTCTATGTTTTTTGGAGTAATTGTAAATGTTATACATAAATGTAAATTTATACCATAATAATGTCCTTGTAATATTTTCAAATGGCAAGATAATTTATGCACTAGTATGGTATAATTCGGACATTTTGCTCTAACTAGCATTATCTAATATAAGAAATTGCTTAAGATATATTAATTTAGTAATTAGTTATTTACCTCTCAGTGTTCTTAGCAAATTTAGTGGCACAGGGTTTCTGAGACTGTTAAAAGAAAAGACACAAATTGTGTAACAACTATTAAAATTTAAAAGAGGATTTTAAAGCCAAAGTTTTTTTCAATAAAACTAATATATATTCACTTATGTAAATAGATCTAAATCCCAATGGACCTTTATATTTATTACTTCTAAAAATATTGTGAGAGGATTTTGCCACAAAGTTGGTTGGGGTTTTGGAGTTTTTTTGGTTTGGTTTGGGCTTTTTTGAGTATAATATTGGTATAAGGAAAAATTACGCTGTATTAGTAGAATGCATTTTTGTGAGGTAAAGACGGTATCAAGATTTCCCCATAATAGTGTTGAGAGTGAAAGGATTATAGCAACTTAGTTTATTACAAAGGTGTAAAAGGAGTATGTCTTCCTTTTCTGGCAAAAACTATGGGAGGAGAAGAAAATAAATCCACAAACTGAAAAAATCAGCACAATGTTCCCATACAGCCTCAAAATATTCTTGTTTACCTCTGTAAGTAAGCAGACAACTAATTGAAACAATGACAGTGAGGACAAATAGGACCTGAAAGTAATGTAGGAAGTGTCTTTTCACTTCACCACTGGCTTTTCAGAAATATTTATGCTACGTAGCTTGTAAAAGAAATGCAAAGGGATTAGATTTACATTTTTAGTTTACTAATTGAATTGGATGCTAAAATGCTGTATTCTTATGAGATTGACACATTCTGCTCTTTTACCCCACAACAATAAGGTTCTGTATTTCTGGAGACAGACAGTAACTAATAACAGAAAAAAATGTGGATTTTAGATTATTGTCTCCTATTAGTATTTTATTTTCAAGTATACTGACCTGAATGGATGCTGTTAAGCTTTTGGTTTAAATAATTTTTGAGTTTTGTCTTATAGGAAGAAGTTATGATTACATATTAATATGGTACAGGCCACATAAAAAGACTACTATTTTTAGCATTATTTGGGAAAACAGTAGTTATCTATGCCTTGCTATTTCAGACTTACTTATTTTCCATAAATTTAATTTTTTAGTGTATCAAGCTTTCACTGAGATTATTTACCATTTGGAATTGTTATTATAATAACATTATTATTATAGTTATATAGGTGCTTGGTGATATTCATACATGATGTCTTTTATTTCTTTTGTTTACAGCAAATTAAGGCGTGGAGATCAGTTTACAGATACAGAATTTCTGGATTCCCCAGTCTATAAAGTAAAAAAGAAAAGAAGTTTTAAAAGTAAATCAAAATTTATTTGAAGAAGACAAGAGAATAGCCTTTATGAACAATGCTTCTAAAATGGGTACAATTTTTAAAATATTTATATATGTTTAGCAGTATAGGGTGCTTATTGTTCTTTGATCAGTAAAGGTCTTCCAAAGTGCAATCTCCTGGAAAGGAGCCGGTATATAAGGCACACAGGGTACTTTACTGAGGAAGCCGAATATAGATTAGGCCCCATTCTTGTGTTTTGCATTTTTGGTTAGTAATTTATAATGTGTTCAAAGGGTTTGCAGCACTTCTTAATTTGTAAGAAAAGTGTACACTTTAATAATGAGAATTAAAAATAAATCACCTTTGGGAATTTTATTGTGAGTTTTTCATGTTTACTGTGAGTAGAACCATTTCTCAATGCTGGTTGGAACAGACACAAGCATCCCAAATTTTGATAAATCTACTGAAATAGATGGAGACAGTCCCTTTTTTTTCTTGATAATTGACTTTTGGGTTTGCCAGAATCATACTGAAATTTGAATAACGAAATCTTATTTTGAGGAATAGTAGAGAGAAGTCTAGTGTCCAGAGTATTTTCCAGAGGCAGTCAGAAACAAAATAGCACTGGAATAGAAAATCAGTAGTAAATAGGATCCAGACAAAGCAACACCTTGGGTTTCCCATTGAGAGTGCTAGTGTGACAAGTAATACAACCTCACGTTACCATTCACCTATCAGGTTTTTGTACTGCTTCCCCTCTGGATTCTCATGAATCACTTCTGCATTCTGTAATGCACTGTCAGGTGACAAACAGTTTTTTGGCCTTATCTGAATCACAGATGCTGCCAGCTGCAGGCTGTAGCTCATAGCCCACACAACTTTTACAGATTACATTAGATAAAGTTCAGGTTAATTTTGCAACCAAGATAGTCATAGCTCATTTTTAATGAAGTACAAATAAGTTAACTTCTTTTGGTTATAGAAGGTGGTTCTTCACACAGTATGCAGTTACGCTGAGGAATTCCTTACTACAGGAATAGGTGTTATTAGTTTACATGGGCTTAAAAATTGATCAAATTAATGGAAGAACAATCTATGAGGAATTACCAGAAACACCATTTCCAGCACAGGATGTTCCTGAATTGTTGAAAACTGGAAGAGTATTCTGGAGAAGGCTTACTATGCATTTGACCAATTTTTATGCTTTTTCTAAGGACATTCACTGTTGAAACTTTCAGAGACCAGTTTTTTGGTTAGCTAGACCCTTGGCTGATTATTATCTGAGAAGTTTTCAGCAAACAGGCTTTTTCTTTCTGAAACATGCAGTGTATGTAACTACATTAGCAAGACCATTATGAAGAGGTGCAGAAATGGTTGGGAAGATAAATTCTATCCTGATACAATGTTATTTAAAAAAGAATAGAATATTTTTCAACTTTTATTTTCCTTTTTTTTTTTTTTTTTTTAATTCGAATGTTCTTGCTAGCCTTCACTGTTTATCAACATCGCCAGCTGTGTCATTAGAAATCCAAAAGAAGCGTCTTTTACCACTTTAGTTCCCTGTGCTGGCACTACAGCAACAAAACACAGTGGGTTTTTTTTAAGGGTTGTTTCTCTCTATTGCCCATGGTTTGAAAGCTAGAAACAGAAGCATATGCTTCATTTTCTCAGAAAAAAATAATCTTTTTGGAGATGGTCTTAATTATTTTTTCAGTGAAGGTCTTGTTCTTCCTTCCACATACCCTCAGGTGTTACCAGGTAGGCTGCTATGGTGTTCCAAATAAAAGTGTGTAATTTGCAATAAAAGTATAAGGCCTAGGGCTTTCTGCCTTAGTTTTTTACATTCCTTTTAGTATAGATAATCTTTCACAGTAACAAAAGATAAAGAAAATTACCTGAAGATGCACAGAAGTTATTTTAAGTAACTCTGAAATCATATTATTGTTGCTGTTGTCCTTCTTTCCTTGTTTTCTCCATCCTTACTGTCCCTCTTGCTCAAATTAATGTTCTATACAGAGAAAATTTACTTGTTATTTTATAGGATGCAGTTCTTTTAATTGTTCTGCAAAATGGTCCCTTACGTTAGGTACTGCATAAACAATGTTACGTTGCCTGTTGATTCTTCACTAAATGTGCTTCTTTTACCAGATCAGTTGTTATAATAGAAGCTCTTGCCAAGAAAAAGATGTACAAACAGGTCATAATATTCAAGATAAAAATTAATCTGTAGTTGTCACAGGGTTTGAGATTATTTTGCTGAGGATAAGGTAATTTGAACTTCTTTTAATAGTTTCAAAGTTGCTTTTTCTCATGTTTATTCAATCTAAATTTTTAAATATTTAATATTTTAGTTTACTGCTAAAAATTTTTGATTGTTTTAAAATTTGTAGGAAAATTAATTCTATATACTTAAGTTAAACAGGAAGAGGGAAATATGATTTTATAAATCCTTGCTTGCATAAGTAGCCCTTACAAATGCTTATAATACCTGGGTGTTACTGTCGATTATTTTGCAAGTGCAAATTCTCATTGGGCTCACGATCACTACATTGCTGGATTTTATCACAATTTAAAATTACCTTTGGAGAATGTAATGACACTTCACGTTGCTAATGTTGCTATTCTGCTCTGGAGGAACATATACGTCCTTAGAGAAAGTGTGAGGTATGTCTTAGTGTTTGAATATACCTTAAAAGGATCCAGTAAATAAATAGTGTGTTAGCTCTAAGTGTTAAGAAAGAATGACCTGCAGCCGTTAGGGCAGCGCAGCTCAGCTGCTGGCGGCTGAGCGCGGTCGCCCTTGCGAGCCCCCGGCCCTCCCCTCCTACGGCCCCGCCCCCCTGCCAAGGGCTCTCCAGCTGCTGCCGCTGGCCGGGGTTTCCTGCCGCTGTCGGTTCCGGGGCTGGGGCACAATGGCTCTGCAAGGGGGGACCGAGGAGCTGATTTTCTATGTGAATGGGAGGAAGGTAAGTGTCGCCTGGAAAGCGTGGAGAAAGGGGGGGCTGCTGTTGCAGAAGTAACCCCAAAGGGTGTGGGCACATATTTGGTTTCCTTAGACTTCCCCCTCGTGGGAGTAAAACCAAACTCTCAGACAAGCCTCCAGAAACATTCCTTCCTATCTCCGCCTTCCTGGGTAAGAAGCAAATCAGCGTCCAAGTTTTACTTCAGCTAGCTAACAGCAAGTGCTGTTAGAAGGGGAGAAGCAGCAGAGGAGGACAAACATGATTACAACATCCTGTTACAGCTAGTTCTGCTGAGTTTAGGGAAAAAATGTGTCAAAGTGAAATGGACTTTCATCTGCATATCAAATTTGTCTGGTGAGCAAACTAGTTTTTTGTTTGTACGTGCCTGGCTTCTCACCTCTGATGGTATCAGAGGAGAGGCATCAGAAGATATCAGATTTTCAGAGGCGCAACAAAGTCAGCAAGACTCAGGTGCCAAAATATGGTCAACATGAAGATAATATTGAAAGAACAAAATTAAACTGGTTGTTGATTCAGTGCAAGGGCAAGGAACTAGCTGATTCTAAGCAATGGAATAAGAAATACTGTCTTTGATCAAAAATGTAGGCATTTCTATTGCTCTCTGTTGTTAGATAAACTTTCACTTGCCATATTAGACTAAATAAAGCTAGAAGGAAAGTGGTTCCTAAAAAGCCTTACAGGGTTCCTCTGGTGTTCATCACAGTAGGTTAAAGTGCCAGGGAGACTCTAAAATCTGCAAATCATCAATTCTTTGTGCTATGCTGCCTCTGTTGTAGCAAAGTTGTACTGTATTTTTATTTCTAGCGTGGCTGAAGGTAAATTCCTTCAGTATGACCTTTCACTGGACAGCAGTTATTTTCAGTAATTTCAAGGTGCCCTGGCACTTCTTTCCAGGAAACATATCTGTCTGAGAAGGAATTTACAGAAGGAGCCCAAATTCTTCTGTGGTCTTTGGCAATTATTCTAGTTCTATGAGAAGGAACCAGAGAAGGATTCTCTTCTGGCTTTGTGGGAATGGTCTGTGCCCTGGATTTTGAAAAGGCTTGGTTTCTTATTTAAACCTTGTTTTTCATCTGTTCCTGCAGATAATAGAGAAAAATGCTGATCCTGAACAAATGCTGTTGTCTTATCTGAGAAAAAGACGTATCCTTTTCTTGTCTCTTCCCTTAAGTCACTAATTTGAAAGCCTTATACGAGCAAAATTCTCATAAATGATAATTAAAAGGTGATTTACACAATCAAGGAAATTGTGACTCCATTAAGGTAGAACAACCATATTAAACTATGTGTCTTTCTGAAGCCAAATACTCTTCAGTGAGCTACTGTATTTTTAGCCTAGTTTCCTAAACAAAGTTATGCCAGCAGGCATGACATGTATGTGTTTATCTGTTTCTCCCCATCCCCCCATAAGGAAACCTAAGAACCTTTTGGCCAGTATACATAAAGCTTGACAGAACAGCAGTCTCTAGGTTTTGTAGAAGCCTCTCTCCCAGGAAAAGGGAGATCTTGTGATGAGACCCTGAGTCTGATGGAATTCTGAGGTAATCTATTTTTTCTTACGATAACTCCAAACAGGTTTCTAGGCTAAAAAACCAGATTTAATAGTAAGTAAATATCAACAAGTGTGTTTATAAAACAGAAAAAAAAATTAAATTAGTCAGATGAGACAGAACACAAGTTGGGAGAGGTAGAGCTCTCACCCTGCCAATGTTGTCTTTGCAGGCAAGGTTCTTTCCTCCTGTCTTGGTTTCAGTCCACAGCTCAATGTCTTTCTAGGTTGCTACAAATTATGCAGCATTTGCTCTGCTCTGATCTTTTCCTCCCTTTCTCTTCACCATTTCAGAGGCCTGACTCTGTGTCTGCTCTCCACTGTTAGGTGTTTTCCAAAATCTGCTGTGCCACAAGCTTATTCCAAGAATTCATGAAGCTGTTGCATAATATTCTGGGGGACTCATAGCCAGGAGCAGGGAACAAATGTGGGACAGAGCAGTGTCTCTCCTTTTTGCAGCTTCCTAGACTGTCTCATGAAACATACCTCCACAGGGCAAGTGATGCACTGT